CGCGCTGCGCGAGCTCTTTGGAGCGAAGAGAAACCAACGATTTCTTACAAAGCGGGTCCCAGGCGAAATACACCTCCATGTTGAAGCATCAAGTATCTTCACTGAAAGGCCTTTACTTATTGCTGATAGCGATATCCCAGTAAAAACTTTAAGGGCTAAAATCCCTTCCACGAAGTGTCATGAAACCACGAAACAGATAGTCCAGAGGCTCGGCTCACTGGGCGAGATTTCCAGTACCATCTACTCTCAGTTGCTTCAACCGTTTGTTGACGTGTTCTGCTTTTTCTCAGATGACCTAGGCGGTTTCAAGCAAGTTGCACATCTTCTTGCTACGTGGCTTGAGCAGGTTGAAAAGTCGACAAGTCCCAGGAGTACTCGCCCACGGGTGGTCATAGTGACCGAAAAAATCCCCGCAGGCGTGGAAAATGAGAAAGAGGCAAGAAAGGCCTTTCTATGGCTGCTGAGCGAGGAAACTAAAAGAGACCTGTTTGAGCAGGTCTCGGCAATTGAGATAATTGCACTTTTCCCAGCCGGTGCACTCTCTGTCAATGCTCGTCACAGACTGCTTAAGGAACGTATCATGGCTGGATCAGATCAAGTGCGGAAGAATAGGGAGGAGTCCAGGTGTCTTTTCTCTGTGACTCACTTTGCTGCGTTCCTTGCAAGTGCATGTGAGCACTTCTCTCGGGTTCCAAATGAGCCGTTCAATTTTATCATAGCTTCCCGAGTGGACAATCCAGCACCACAAGATTTGGATGAGCATTTAGCTAACCTGCTGAAGCACATTAGAAATCCTCGAGATCTCACCGCGTTTGCAGCTCCTGCTATCGCATCTTGTCTTTTGCTGGACAGCTACCCCCCTCATTCGCACTGTAAGTCATTATACTATGACTAGTGTGCAAATTAACAAACCGACAGTGTTCCCTCCAGAGCAGGTACTGGACATTCTATATAAAGATGCGTTTCCGAAAGAGAGAGTCATATGTTTCACAGACTCGAAAGATGTCATTCTCCGGAGTGGTTTCATCAATCTGGTCCGTGAACATTTGATCAACTTCTTTGAGCAGCTAACATACAATCCCTCATCGGCTGCAGAGATTCACCGCGGCAATTTAGATCGATTTAAACACCATTGGCAAGGTATTCGAAGCAGTAGTACTTGTCTCTGCTGCCTACGTCGAAGACCACAGTATGGCTTATCCTGCGGACATATCCTATGTGAGAACTGCGTTCTCGTCTTTGGGGACGTCGACGAACACGACCCATGGATGTACAAAATACATCACTGTTTTCTTTGTGGAGAAGAAATGTCTGAGGAAGTAAATGTTAAAGTTCATCCTCCTACAGCTGGAGTAGGAATCCTTTGCATCGATGGTGGTGGCGCTCGCGGCTCCACGTCCCTCAGGATGATGAAGCGTCTATATGATCGAATTGGTTTACCGATTCCCTTCCAGCAATTCTTCAAAGTCGCTTTTGGAATTAGTTCAGGTACGCTCTTAAATATTTGACTGATCGACGCTGACGTTTTTCAGGAGGTTTGATCGTGCTAGCTATGTTTGTTAACGGATGGAGCATCGAAGAGTCTACAGATACTTTTGAACGACTCGCCAAAGTTGCCTTTACGCCTCGGAAAATATCTAAAATTCCGATATTTCGTAACGTTATTGAACTTTTGGTATCATACTTTGCTGATGGACTTTATGCGCCTGAAAATATCGAAGCGGCGCTGAAGCAGGTTTTCGGGAATGATAGGAGCATTCTAGATTGTTCACATGCGACGACTACGGGAACACGTATTGGCCTCCCGGTGGCCACTGTCGGTGGTAAACCTTCTCGCCGTATCTTCACGAACTATAATGGTGTTGGGGAGCGTGTTAAAGGCCAAGGTACGTCTAGCGTGATTCAAATGAAGTATGACCTGATTTAATATAGAAGACCGCATCATAAAACCAAAGGACGGATTAGGAACTGTTCCACTGTGGGAAATGTAAGTCCGTAGACAAGGTAGGAAGCAAAGCTGACCACCGGATGTAGAGCACGTTCTGCTTCTGCAGCACTTGGGTATGTTATCTTTTATCCCCAATGTTCTGGAACTGATCAGCCACAGATTTTTCCCTCCCAAACATATACGTGATGTTGGAACATTTCAAGATGCAGGGCCGTTCGTGAATGATCCATTGATTTTAGCGCTCTCCGAGGCAGCAGCTCTGTTCCCTTTGACTGGCAAGCCTGACTTTGTCATCTCTTTGGGAACTGGTGAACCGCACCATGCCGATACTCCAGAAAATGTGTCTGACAATACCCGGCAAAAGAGCATCTTGCGTAAACTAGGTGAAGCCTTCTGGGAAAAGTTACAGGACAAACAAATTAGAGAAGCGATCCAAACCCGGTGTACCCCAGAGTGGTATCATCGAATTGACACTCCACTTAAGGACTTTGAGCCGAGACTAGATGACACGGCTAGTATACCAATGTTGAACGAGCAAGCCGACAAGGATGACTCGATATCCAAAATCATAGATAACGCTGCGTATTGCGTAGTAGCTTCCTTGTTCTACTTCGAGCTCGATAGAGACCCAGAAAGGTATGAAGGGAGGTTTGTAGGGTCTGGACGCATTTTATGCTCTGTATCAGTCAATGATTCGGCCTTCCATGAGCTAATGAAACAGCTCTCAGCGGAATCAGCGCAGTTTCTTTTAGATGGCTGCCCAGTTTGTCCGATAGATGACCCTTCCTGCTGGGATAAAGACGGCAACTTTCGAAAGAGTATCAAGTTAAATACTTCTGACTCATTCTCCATATCGTTGAAGAGAGGACAGACTGAACCTCGGAATATCAGCGCCTCTCCTTTCTCAGTAAAATTACTAATCAAACAACAGCGTCTGAAATCATCCTTTGGTAGACCTGATCATCAAAAAAGGGGGGCTCCCGACAGTTCTGACCATCGAAAAAGGAAGGCATCCGACAGTTTCTACCTCCCAAGAACTAAACGGAGATGCACGTAAGAGCTTGGGAACAGGTAAAATAAGAAAGGCGCATCTGAATCCCTTTATCTTCCATATGCACACTAACAAGTTGATATACAAAGAACATTATGCTTGTTCGCCTTGACGTGAATCGGTCTCAGCCTTTGTGAAGAGAGTTCAAAACTCGCACTGATAGGCCGAGATGTCGTACTCCCCATCACTGACTCGCTTCTCAGTACTACTGTAGTGCGCTGCACCTCTCGTTGTCAAGCTCCAGCATTGGCCGTGTCTGCTCCTACCACTTCAACCACATCAATGCGCTCCCTCTGGTCGTCATTTTCGGGGTTGCTAGGACTCTCCTCGTCGCTTCTCTATCCATCGTTCGACGTCTTGGTCGCGCTTGCTTTTCCCCCATTTCTTCCTCTTGCACCTCCTCCTCGCCCTCGCCCTCCTCCTCTCCATCTGTCCCCAGAATTGAATCTTTCACGACCCTGTCCTCCACCTCTTTTCTTATTGTTACGCCTCAGGTTTTCCAGAGAGACTTCAAGCTCATTGTTTTTCTTTCTTCTCGCTCCAAGTTGCAAGGCTGGCATAGTTTGAGCAACGTCTGCTTCACCTTATTTCTTTGCGCATCCAGAGCTTTCAAGTCTCGCGGCTCAGGTATCTACGTCTTGATGTATTCCCCATTTGAGTCATAGTCGAAGGCCTGCTTTGCTGGGTTGAAAATTTGACATTCATGAAGACAATTTCCAACACCCGCAGTGTACTGCCAGTTCCCCTAGTTGCTTGCTAGGTCATAGTCCACAAGCGTGCACTCATAATACTCAGCTCTAAGACGCCAGTCTATTCGAATAAGCTTAGCGAAATAGAAAGCCACGTTCTGTCGCGCACTGTTGCTGGTATAGCCTGTGTGGAGCAGCTTGCGCTGGCTGGCATCGATAAAAGACATGCCAGTACAGCCTACTACAAAGCGTTGAGAGTCATAGTTGCATTTGCCTAATGACTTTTGTTGCTGCATTCTCCCCACAGTCAAATCCAGTGGTACCACGAAAGCGCTCTAGAAGAAGGGCCTCTTGCTCTTGATTAAGGCTATCGGCGGCCTTGCCATCTTCGTAGCAGCATATGGCCTCATGGTTTAGTCGCGCCGTTATGCAGCCGACGGTTAGATACCCGGAAAGCATTGTAAGTTTACTCAGTTTATGGCCTATTGGAGCGTTTGATATTAATTACTGGATTCCGAGTGCATTGGATAGCAAGGCAACTGATGAGAGAGCGGGTCGCAGAACGCACCAGTGAGGAAGAAGGCAGACAAAGCAGGGCGTGCCTGCGGCACACAAGATACGTATAAAGTCCGAGCCGTTCAGCTTTTCTCTTGAAACCCATTCCTACAAGATTTCAAGATTCAGGAGCCAACATCAGCTCAGCTGCTCCACGTGCATGAGATATCCACTTATCACAGTGATGGGCGTACCTTCCATTGCAAATGTCGTCACTGCAGAAAAGAGATTACTCTAGGTTCCCGCTGGCATTGTCGAACAAGACATGTAGACTCACAGGGGTAGTTTGTGGTGCTTCGTCTCTGTATGACCTTCCTGCTTCGAGTCCTGCACGTCCCCAATTCAACCCCGCATCACAATGTCAAACCAGCGGGCAACCAAGCATGCCAGGAAGCAGTCAATGTGTCATGTCTGTTGGGTCTGAGCTCAAGTTACATTGGACCCAGACCCGCATTGCATCTTTTCCATCATACTGAAAGCTGGGAGAACAGAGAAAGAACAGTACCAAAAATGAGACCTTTCGAATGTGCAACCCAGGGGAGAATTTCGAGTTGTTCGAAAGACTCGACAGCAACTTAAATCATGAAGATAACTCAGCTTGCAAAATCTTCACCTCACTTGGCCTACGAAATCTCTTCGCTTCAGTACTTTCAGGTTTCAAAAGTGAAGGCAATTTCGAATTGCTGGTCTATAGATGAAGTAGAAACGGCTAGGAATGAAATAACCAAGGAATTGCCTAATGTTTAATTTATTACACTTATAGCATGATCTCTTTTGCCAGAAGCATATCTCGTTCACGATCTTGTGGCTTGCGATATTCTGGCTCAGGGTTCGCCAGCAAGAACCGTTTCTGCAGGTCGAGCACCCTCCCCATAATACCTCCGAGGACACAAACATGAAGTGGTCTTGTTGTGAGTCGACAGATACGCTGCATATCTCCGTATGTGTAATACACAAATAAACACAAGAGCATTCGCCGTATGATGTTCCATCTCGAGTTCCTCCATGTTCTATAGCTGTATCGCGGCTTAGGAACTTGAGGCAAAATGTTCTCAATGGGCTTTTCGGCAGATTGAAGTATAATGCCAACCTGGTCATCAGCAAGGCCTCGCACTCTCACAATCAACATAAGATGCGGCACTCCACATGTGAAACCGCAGTTTGTATTACCACATGTGTATCTATAGACTGCGTTTGTGGTGAGGAACCTTCGCTCAATTTGTGATTCAAAGAGGAGGAGATCTTGCATAACCTGGGAAAAATTATTTCCTGGCAGGCAACTTTCCATGATGATGGATGGCTGAGAGGATCCTTCAGAGATCCTATCATCAACAGACGACGCTTCGTCGGTCATGAGGCTTTTGCTATCCGCCATTGTGGATGTAAAGAGAAGACGATGCTAAATGCGAAGAAGTATGGGAAAAGTGTTCGGAAGGAGAAACAGTATGTCTAAACCTACAGAGAGATATAACCTCGAACCGAGGGGGCCCAATTTCAGGACTTCTACAAGACTTCAAACCCAATCGTCCTCATGCATGCTGCCCAGGTCCCAGACTTGGTCCCTTCCCTACCTTACAGAGTGCTATTCGAGGTGGTAGGCCTTCTGATATACACGACTCTAGGCTTCAAGTATCGCATCTCCAACCTTTGTGTCTCAGCAATGCTTTGGGAGGCATCTATCAACTCGGTATACTTTTGACATCTCCTCAGTTCAGGGTGTTGTCCGTACGCGGGTTTGAAGATTAAGGTCCGATCATGGGGTTGCAAAGTGTTACAACCTTTAGAGACAGTATATTGGTATTGTGAGAATTCCGAAATATTCAGAGCGAGCTTTAAATCATCTAAGACCTGCTCAGCTCTCTGGATCAGGTCATGGAGATTTCGTTGAGCTTCGAGAACCAGGTCTGCAGTCAAATCTGAAAGCAGTAACTTGTTGCTGTGTGTTTGAGGTTCCATGTGGTAAACGGTAACAATGTTATTCATATTATATGTATATAAGTTACTAATAGATACTGCCCATAAGGCGAGAGAACAATTAAAATTACATCGATGAATGTGGTGTCGGTAGGGGACCTGTTTTGGAACCCGCCGGAATGCATTGTCCGAAGAAGTGTTCGAATACCAGCCCCTTGTAACTTAGCTCCCAGCCCTTTTAGAAAGAAATTTTGAATCTCTCGACACGGAAATGTGGGACAGGGATAATACAATCATTTATAGTATATCTTGCTTAAGAATTCTATCATTAATCCTGCTTAGCTAGCTTAAATGATATCTTCTTATTGTTCTTATGGTTATATAGCATTATTAGCCTATACTGCTTATAAATGCCGGATAATGAGGCTGTAGAGCTAGACGTGCTCGTCCCAGGGTGAGTATGAGTGTGGAACTCTGTGAAAGATTCGATCTTCTTCCCAGCTGTTATGCAATCCTCTATAATATACTCCAACTGCATTTTATGGAGTCGTTTGCTTAATGCCACATGTGTGATGAGATTTCTCAAATACAGTTCGTTATATAGCTTTTCGTCTATAAGGTCTTGAAGACATAGCATCTTAAATAGGTACATACTGTGATCGCTTTAGGTGTTTACTCCGGATTTCTGAGAAAATTAACGCTAACTTACGCGTGGGCCCAAATGCGGGACCTTCAGGGTACCAGAATCGGGCGTTCGTCGAGAGCTGTCTAGAGGAAAATATTCTGTCTGCTCAATCCATCACTTAGTTACGAATGCCATGCCATGTCGTAATCCCGTTAAGTCCTTTGTTGGGCTGTTCACAAGAACCCATGCTGTAGATGCCAATTTAGCAAGGGCTGCGATGAAAATGACAATCCCTAACTTAACCCTCCTAGTAATGTAAGCACAAGCAAAGCTTCTGAAACCTAAAATAAGTAAGGAGGCAATTCAATAGTCTGGAGGGCTTTTGGAAGCTTGGCATAACTTGGCGACTCCAGAAGGTAAATATAAGTTGACGTTGACATCTTTTTTGAGCTGATGGGTATTTTTAAGGATATCTTTCTGGTAATTCTGCTGAAATTCCGGTGTGGTTCTGAAAGTACTCTATGGGAGATGCTTGTCCAGGAGAAGGGTCCAAGCTCAGCCTCATGAGTAAATCGGTAGAGTTTAGAACTAACGATAGAATTAAGTGTTCCTAGAAGTTTATCTAACACCAAAATTACTCTCCTTGGCAAGGATTAGACGTTCGTGCAGTCTAACTCCTAGGATGAGGAGTGATTTATTGGTCAGGCGTTGTTGCCAACATCATCACCTTGTGCGCGTCCATAAAGGACAGGGTTTAAATTCGAAAGATTGATTCCGGTTAGCTAAACAGTGTAATAAAACAGATAGCTAAGCCTTGCCGAATTCAGTCCCAAGTTTCCTTATAACTTTCATATGTTTCGTAAGTGAGCTGCTTCCAGTACCATTTCCCTCGGTGTCCAGATGATATGAGCACACCTCTGTCTCCTCTGAGATACAAAGCCTTCACATTCTAGACCCAGATTAAAAATTGGCTAGACTAATTGTGACCAAGGATAGCTGTGATCAATATATTTGCCATCGAGACGCTAGGCTACGACAATTGCCGTTCACGCAAACTCAAAGTTAATCGGTAATGTTAACGGTTCCCACGGCCGTGTACTGCAGAAGTGGCATCACCGGCACTAGAACTAGTCACTTAAGAACGTGGAGTTTTTAAGTCGCGAAATGCGCAAACCGGATGTGCTGCCATCCGCTTTCTTTCCATCGATACTGGATTTATTTCTGCTAAATGAGTGTGCCATAGTCTAGTCGAGCCTATTCCGCCTTCTGTAATCCTTTTTCTCAATATCCCCGTTACGCCGAGCTCATGGGATCTCAAGAGTAGTCCTCATGTCTCTCTCCTGTCAGCGCCGGATGAGCTTTGGCTTTCCTTCCTGTGGACAGTCCTCAATATCTGTCACTTCGTCATCATGGTCTCGCTTGTTTCGAATATTCCCTGTGACGAACCCAGTCATTTCCCAGTTTCAGTACCACGATGCGAATTATAACATACCACTGATGATTTTGAAAGCCATTAGGGGACGTAATACTTGCTTCTCTGGTGCTGTTATTGTTCTTAGTTCTACTGTTCGGGCAGCGAGTTATATGAGCGACCAAGTATTTATAATCCTCGATGAAGACGAGGGCTCCAGCTTCGCTAGGTGCATTATGCATTGCCCGCGCCTTACTAAAGACAGAAATGGCACAATGCGTCAAAGAATCACCGACGCCGCAAGGGAGGTACAGCCGACAGATGTGCATTGACCGTGGTGTTCAGCCTTGCCAAGAAGGCGCGGTCTATTGTTGTGCGCTAACTATTATGGATTGGATGCAGCCAAGGTAGGATGGGATGCATTTACAAGCTTAGAACAGAAAACCGGTGTAGAAGTGCACGCACCGACTCGTCTATGCATTTGCATACTGCATTTCCTGTATGATATGAACCCAAGGCTGGTACCTGCTCAGCAGAGTCGCCGAAGTAACACTCTTTTTGTAGCCAAATTTAGCTGTGCTCGTCCTTCCTACTGTATAAACATGGAAAACAGCGCATCTGCTAGCATGTTATAGAGTCACGAAAACCGCTCGCCCCCTGTAGGATGAGTTCATCCAACATCTGCTATCCAGCTTTTGGAAGCATGCTCATATTTGTACTCCGACCCTTCTAGCAATCAATTTATCCCTACAGTCGCCTGAAGTTATGATCAGCTATTAAATAACCACTCTCATGGATGAAAGTAATGTACCGCATTTCTTGTCCAGCCGGTTCTCACTATGGGCCGTTACCAGGAGGACATCTAACTAGAGCTGAGCAGGAACTCACATTCCAACGATATTTGGTGGACAACGTTTGTGTGTTTCTTGATACTTGGTACACCATGCCTTCACTGTATATCGCAAGTGACCGCAGGCGTACTCGACCTGTGTGTAGTCGCACATCTTGGATGCTCCTGATTGAGTTCGAGGTGCGGTGCTACTGTCTATATATAGGAAGATAGTAGTGGCCTAGCCTGAATTCATCTAAGGGATCACTATCAAACAGATGCCCACTGTTCCAGCACTGACCGCCAATAGATTGAAGGAAAGCATGATACGAAGATCTGGTTCTGGGTATACCCCATAGCAGCATAGTGTACGCTTCATGAAATCGTTAACGCCACTCTGCAGATTCAGGAGCGGCAGGGGTGACGTAAATTAAAGGGTATTTAACTATGCAGCTTTGTGTCCTGCACGGCTTTCCATGCCGGCTATCCCATAAGCTATCTGCATTACCTACGTCCTACGCCTCAGCGCGTCAATGTATGCATACGTTTCAAGGATGAATTTCCACGAAATAAAACGTTTCATTGGCTTTATTTTCCCTTTAGAGTACAAGGCTAGCTTCTGTCTGCGTTATTACGTTCTCAAGCACTTCGAACCGCGGAGTTCATGCTACAACTTAGCCAGCTCTACTACCTGTAAATCCGAAACTCTTTGCATCACCAATGCACTATAGTCGCAAAGGTCGTTATCGAGCAATGATCGACAATCGCGATGCCAGTAGCCGGATTTCGACCAGACCATCAGAGTAGTGTCGTTTTCTGTCAATCTGTACTTCCATTTTGGAACATCTTCCTCATCCTTCTTAACATCAGCTCCTTTCCGCCATCAAAGTGTATATAACATACCTCGTATAATTTTTTCATGAATCTAATAGCCTGGCATGGCAAAAGCGCTTGTTTCAATTCTCCGAAATCGATAAATTTAGGAACTAGCATTGGTGAAGGTGGAGGGGGCGGCGGAGGGGGCGGTGGCTCAAGCTCATCGGTGATTTTTCTTGAAAGTGAAAGAGATGCTTTGCTCATGATTGATTGCTGTAAGATTTGTCGACTCATAGAAACAAAAGGCAACTGATGTGCACCTATATATGCGCAGCGTGCATGGAGGAATGCATCTTGAGGTGGAGCCTTAACGCCACCCAGCCATGTTGCCGTACTGCAGTTTTTGCACAGAGTATTGTTGTGTAGGTCACTAGAACTAGTGCAGGGATGGTACAGTAGTAGCACAAAGAAACTGCCGCAACCAGGCTAGAACCTTTACGTCTTATATCATATTAGGACGTACTGACGGCATAATCATGTTGAAGACGGAAAAGTTCTCTATTTCTTATCATACGTTTACCACATCCTAGGCGCGCCTGCCGTAAGTACATATAAATGGAGCTACATAAAGCTCTATTTTCCAACAACTGAATTGCTCCCTTGAGCCTCAGATCGTGTGTTGGTTTGATGAGTACCAGATGGAGCATCGAGCGTTGTAAGTTGGAGTGCTTTCGCCAATTCGTCTCCAGTCATACGAGACTCCCTCTTCAGGGAAGGGACAGAGAAAGGTGGCAGCTGTGAAGAAGGAGGTGTGATAGGAGGTGTGCACGCCGTGGAAGTGGACTGCGAACTCTGGAGACCAGCCATGTTGAGCAAGATGTGCCACAGCTGCAGTGCTGGATAATGGAAACAAGACCGAAATTGTGGTTGCGTGAGGTAGAATAGGTCTAGCGAAATTTTGGGCTCTAGAACTAGTCTAGTGTGATGGAGAAAAAGACGAGACCTTTTATTCAAGTCTGTCGACGATGCACCCTCAACACGCAATTTGTCCTGTGTTCTGAGTGCGTCAACCGTCATCTTCGAGTCTGTCATACATCAAGGGCTCTGGGGCAGACAGTTGGCTGAAATCGTCGATCGCAGAATCACATATCAGTGAACTGCGGCTGTGGAAGCTCGAGTTCCAATTGGATCAAACCATCATGCAGGAACCAATAGCATCGCTGCAGAATACCCCACCCCCCAGATTAAACATTGATCCACCGGAGCGGGACATGCGGCTGGGCCTAAGCTTCTCGCGCAGCGCACATAAATAATACTCTTGCGCAGCCCAGCTAGACCCTGAATGCGCGCTGCCCAGATATTCCATCAACGTGCGCTGCTAGGCAACAACCTCAACTCGCGCCGCACAGAAACAACCCCAGCTCGCGCTGCATACCAACAAACCAAACTCGCGATCGCCCATAATAATCATAACTCGCGCAGCACCAACGGGCCCCGACAAGCTCTAATGGATGTCAACATTTTAGATCTCAGCCCTCTAGAGGTGGACGAGAGGATTCTGGAGTCCGCAGATAAATATTACCCCACTTTCCTCCGAATATCTGATGTTTGTAGAGTCGCGGAAGGGCTCACAAATCCCACCTACCGAGAGGATGTTATCAAGCAGCTAACGACAGTGCTTGCCAGACTCCCCATCATTTGGGCTATCAGGGATACAGAGGCCAAACTGCGCGAGCTTGGAACTGAAACCCGCTTTGGGGACCGTACATGCAACCGCCTGAAGGACTTTGCCGACTATACTTACCAGACGAAATGTCGCCAGAAAGACAAGTATTACGTCGAGAAACAGAAGCTCCTACGAACCGTAAACTGGAGAGTGTTCAGGTTCCATAGCATAGCCTTTTCAATAGAGAAAACCAGGAATATGAATCTCAATCGCTTGCGGCAAGTCCTCCAGCTAGTAGAAGCTCGCATAAAATCTCGTGGGTTGGGCCGTTACTTAAATCGCATGGAGTTCAACAATGCCCTCGCCGTACACGCCTCAAGAGTCCGTTACGGGGAACCGGGCCTCTATGACCCAAGCTACGAGGCTTTCAAGGCTGGTACGTTGTCCGAGAGACTCAATCATGTGCGCTGACACAAAGAAGCACAGCCAGAGGAGCGCGTAGAACACATTCCGCAAGACCACCAAGATGAAATCTCCCCAGTAGCTATTTCTGACCATCAAGGTATGTATTTTCCTTCATTCGAAGTTTTACTAAGCACCCACTAGGCGCACCTATACGCGAACTACATGGACAAGTGTATCAGCTCAGTGCAGCGGACCTTAGAGATATCGTCTATTCTTACAAAGGTGCTGGCAAACCTAGCATCATGACCGTTCCAGTCCCAATAACAAACCCGCCCTTTATAATTTTCACCACCACAAATACAATGACTATGAAGTTCATGGAACGCCCAGTACCGCAGAACGAGCAGATGAGTCGCCTGATCAGGTCCGTAGTAACATCTTGGTCGTACCAGCCGCTACCTGGGGAATGTTGGGTGTGTTCACCGCAAGGTTGCTGGGTGGACCTTTTCACGTTGGGGCGGCTACGATTGTGCTCGGATCATGAAAGATGCCAAATGTGCCAGCCGTGCTGGATGTTTGAGAGACGAATCAGCGATAAATAGCTTTTTAGATTCAACAAACACGATGTTACATCAACAGCCTCAGACCCCGCAAAGTGCGCAATAGCGGACAAACTGGCTCTCAGTATAATTATGGACGAGGGAACGCTAAAATAAATGCTATCTCCATTTCGCCCATGCAAAGGTATTTCCAGCTGTGATGCCATGGCATAATCACGACTTTCGTGTTAGCTGTATCAGCGCCTCCAGCGCCCCCAAGCCATTTGCTTGTGTTATACACCCTACAGGACCCTCGTTTCCTAACATCCACTACAATGGCAACTGTGTTATCTGGTGCAGGTACTGGGTTTCGGCTCGGTTTCATGGTCGTGAAGGAAGTCACCTCGCTTATGGTCTCTTTTATCTGCACCATGTCAGTGAGTGATCTTCATAAAGTATTATAGACTGGGAATACCTTTCTCATGCACTCCTCAATACCATCCTCTCCTTCTTCGACCTTTAACTTCTCCAAGGCATAGTCAAAATATGTCGTGAGCACGTCCTTCCCCTCATCAACCTTTATCTTTTGCAATACGTCTTCCCTGATGTTCATATGCGAGTAAAGTGGGTTTCGCGATGGCGTCTCAAAAATTCGATGAGCGGTGTGGGCATGGTCGACGCGATAAGTTCTGGAGGAGGGAGAGAGGATTAAAAAGTGTTTATTATCACGAAGTGAGTAGGTGGGGCACTTACTTGTAGCTGGACAACTGTCGTTTGTTTTGTTGTTCTGGCAAGGGTTGGTTTAGTGGGGCAATGACTCAAGACGTCACGAGGTCAATCGCCCTGCAATAAGCTTGTTGGAGTGCACTCTGAAACTAGTCTCCATCCTCTATTACACTTTTCATCGCTATGGATATTATCATCTCAGAGCCCGTGGTCAGATGTACTGAGGGAGAGAATTGTATTCTTGAACCGTGCGGCGAGCAGTGCGATGTTTGGAAGAAGTATCACCGTATGTCATCTCCCATAAAGTGAGTTACGACTTACTAAGATTGTCATAGCGAAAACGCCTCCACCGCCATGAAGCGCTTTATATATAGAGCTGTAAGCTTTGTTCTCGATCCCAACTCTCCGTGAACTTGCACCTTTGGACATTAATATCTAGATGTCACGGCGACGATTTGTTGAACAGAAGAATAGGCTCGCCGAAGAACTCAATACCAAATACCGAGGCATAGCAAGCGCCAATATTGCGGTACTGGACTTTCCATTCAAAAATTTAAGAGATGAGGACGATAAGAATACTGAAAGGCTCGAGAAGTAGTTCAAAAATCAGAAAGGGTGTCTTGATTGGGATGTTTTCAACACAAACGTAATTCTCACATCAGTTTGCTGTGAGTGTTTACAATAAGGGAGAGCACATGAATGACCTATATTTATGAAGAGATAAGTGCGTTTGCAGAATGTACCAGTGATTTAGCCGTTCAACGAGACTTTTCACATTTGCACCGCTGGTGGACCTTCTCTGACGACATAATTCCCAGTGACGACGTATTCAGGCAGGTATCCTCCAGCATAGCCGAATTGCTCAAGAGACTGGAAGAGGTCCATTGTTGGCGCAACCGCATGGTATCACAGCCTATTGGCGTAGGCCACCCTTACCTTGGCCAGCTTGTTTTTCCTGGTTGGGCACAGGCAGTTCCACGCCTTGTGTGTACCGCGGCATGCTGCACATTTCCTGGGGGGGTTCCGGTCTCCTTTTGATGGGTAGTCCCTTGAGTCATATTCTAGCGTGTAGTAGCCACATGTCTTTACTGCTTTGCATTGGGTTCCTATATGGCTATATATCTGACACTTGAAACACTGCTTTAGGTGGCACTGCTGCTTATAGCGCTCGCTCTGGTATATCTCTCCTTGCTATACTAGGCCCTCATTGATAATCTTGTTAGCATCCTCTGGCCTTATAATAATTGACAATATTGCTTTACTTGGTGCCCGCTGGGTAAGCTATCTGATGTATTTGATCTCTGCGTTTAGGATAAAAGGTTTATTATCTTGTAGGATGGCGTTTCTTATGTCTTCCTGCTTATCCATGTTGACTGTGCTAACCCGTATGCCATGTACTAAGACGCTGTAGGTCAGCTTCCTGACTGAGGACCCGCTACCAACTCGTGCTACCTAGTCGTCTGTGAATTGCTGTAGGAGTTAAGTCTCCTTACCTGTTGTTGTTCGGATACTGAGGTCTCCGCTCTTTAATTGGTTGGCTGACATTATAGTGATACCAGTGATGTGTTTATTCTTGCTTTAGGTAATCGCATACTTGACATATATTTTAAGAGTCTGTGGGTTATTGCTCGTAGTCGTTCGATTATGTGGCTATCCCTGATATTTACTATGATCTCCCGCTGGGTCGGCGTGGTGGGAGGCATCCTTTGCTTATGTCACGAAACCGATAGATGGGATCTACTCAAATATCACGTGAGGTGAAATAATGAGATTGTCAACTATCTACTAGATCGCGTGGTACAGGTGTAGTACCAGGGTCAAGATATTGCATGAAAGAGAGAATATCTGAGAGTAGCCCATACTTCAATATATAAGGAAAAGGGGGAGGGCTTGTCCACCTTTCCTAATTGGGGGTCGGGGCATGGTTCACTAACACTGGATTGTGTTGGCTTTCATCAGGTTATGTTAGCCAGTGCTGGCTGACTCCAGGGCTGGTTCGCCAACACTGGGTTGTGTTGGCTTTCATCAGGTTGTGTTGGCTAGTGCTGGCTAATGTTTGGGTTTAGGTAAGGCAACAGAATGGTGCCTATCACGTGTCATAGGGGTGACCCCGTGATAGTACCCCCGTCCTAGCCGGCGAAGCCTCTAGAGAGGAACCCGGGGGAGAATTTTTGGGAGCTCAGGCTCGGGTGTTCGGGTCCGGGTCATCAGATGTTCTGGTTCAGGCGTTCAGGTTCAGGTGTTCAGATTCGGGTGTTCGGGTTCAGGTCGGGTTGCTACGGTTTCGGAGCTTGCGTCATAGTCGCTCAATCTGGGATGTATTTTATGCTTCATACTCAGCGAGAGCTGCTGTCTCAAGTAAGGCTTCTTCAGGTTCCCAGGTGTTATCATCCGGGTTATCATATCCACGCCATTTGACCAGGAACTGTAGTCGGTGGCGGTGGATTCGGGCGTCGAGGATCTGTTCAATCAGGTATTCGTCTTCTCTATCAACCTTAATTAGGGGTGGAGGCTCCTGCTGCTGGCTAGGTAGCGGTTTATAGTCAGTTGCTGGCATCAGGTTCGATATATTAACTATAGGCCATATATATACTAAGCTAGGTAGCTTTAATTTATATATATAAGGTGATACTTTCTTTTCAATCTCATACAGGCCTGCATTCTTCCAGTCCAATTTCTTAGTTAGGTGGTAGCTGCGCATATTCTTCAGGTTCAGCCAAACCTGGTCGCCTACTTAGTAGTTAGGTCCTATTTATCTATTGCGATCGGCTTTCTCCGCGTAGACAGCCTGGGCCCAGGACATTTGATTATAAAGGTGTTGGTTTAGTTTATGCATCCGGCTTATAAAGCGGTCAATGTCGCTGACTGTTAGGGACTGCAAGCTGTCAGGGGGTAGTTCAAAACCTATTTGCGGGTGTTAGCCAGTGTTTGCCAGGAATGGTATTGCTCCTGTTGTTTTATTTTAGCTTTTATTAGCGGCGAATTCTGCTATAGGCAGCCAGTCATCCCAATCGTCCTGCATATAGTCTATAAAGCTGCAGAGGTACTACTCTATTTCTCCATTTACGCGTTCAGTCTGACCGTCCGTTTCAGGGTCGTAGGTAGTTGATAGGCGGGTGTCGATATAGAGACGTTTGCATAAGTGTCTCTAAAAGAGCGATATAAATGTGCTCCCCTGGTCTGTGTCACGGAACCGTCAGAAGTGGTGATCTTAGCTACATGTTCGTTTTCGCTCTGGGCGATGGCTGTGTCAACATGGGCTTTCATGATACGCGGATTCATGGCGCGTAGGTGTTAGATTGTCTGGGCATTTCTTATGTTCATGATGATCTCATGCTGCACTGGAGATAGAGCATTATAAGTATTCTGTATGCTGTGTGTATTTGCGATCAGGGCACCATATACTGCCGCAGCGGCATAGCTCATTGGTCCTCCTATCTGATGCTGTATTCCTTTGTTCTTTATATCTCTTGCTATAGCGGCGACTGTCTTGCCTACTTCCGCGGCCTCAGTCGCCGCCACGGTGGCTGTCTCGCCCGCCGTGATGCCTTTTTGTACCTTCACCGCCAGATTCTTGAGTTCCTCTTTGATGTTATTTATCTCTTTCGCCGTGCCGTTCGCGTTCGCCGTCATTTCTGTGTGTATGGTGCTCATCTTCTGATGTACCGCCGTCATGTCAGGGGTCCTCATGACCTTTCCGACTAGGGATATTGCTGCCATAACCACTGTTCTCATCTCTTCCGGGGTTACTGGTTGGTTTTCCTCGCGATCTAGATGGAGCAGTACGTTCCGAAGGTGCCCCGTAAGTTGAGTAGCGTGCTCCTGTATTGGTACTGGCCATGCCACCTCTCGGGGCCATGGGATCGTCATTTCGCGTTCCACACGCGTTGGGCGACGCACTGCGACTGCTGACGACCTCAGTTCCTTCAGGGTGACGTGTTCGCACGATAGGAATATTCAATTTCAACGATTTGAGTTCTCGCTGTTATGGTGTTTTTATTGTGCTTTGACTACATCTTGTTCAGCACTGCCTAGCATCGCTAGTGCCACAGTGTGACACAAGTCTTATCATCACGTGACATTGAGCCTGCCTAGAGTTGACAATAAGCGCCTCTCTCGAAAATCCTACTGCGCACTATTAATTCATTTTTTTCTATCAAGTCCATCTTATCCACACATCATGCAGTCGATTTTGAACGTGATCAACACAGGATTAACGCAAACTACGTTAGTTCTTGAACCTCCGGCGTCCATTACTCTCAATCAAACTACATTAGCATACAAGCGAATTGGTAGACACCAAAAGACATTCTCTCGTCCTCTTCAAGAAGGCCATTGGGAAGAGACGTTACAGCTCAGAAATAGGAATGTCTTGCTAGGTGGGTATGACGGTTACGTGCCGGAGATGGTTCGAGCTGAAGGAGATGCTACTATATTCTGCCATGACGAGATAATTGCTGTGATGAGAGCAGCCTTTGCGCCTTTGGGAGGTAAATACCGAATGCTCGCGCAGCTACCGTCCACGAGCGGCAAGGTTGTCGCCGACCTGGTATGCTTCCAAGATGACGTGAATAAAGTTATCGCCCTGCTTGAACTCAAGCGTCCAGGATATATCAACGTAACTCAGTGGAGCCAGCAAGATCTTAGAAACGCCAATGAGCATACTCAAAGACTGACCAGAAAGATTCGGAGGTAGGTATATAAGGAATTACATATCGACACTTCTAAAGTGTACTAGGTATGCACACGAATACGATTGCACCCAATATCTCTTATTTGATTGCTGCACTCTTCTAAAGATCGAATTTGAGGCCACTGGCAATGAGATTCAAAATACTGATCGGATAAATATTGAAATCGCGTACGATACACGCTACGAGCAGAGGGCGCATGTCATTCAGGTACTCGGTCGAGGTGAAGACTATGCTACGGTTCGGGCTGTGATATACTCATCTATCCTTGCCGGTATCCGTAGGCATCTCTTTGCAAACATACAACCGGCCACTATATCCCCTCCAGATGGAAGCAATTATGTCTATCTGGGTTGGACTCCATGGTCAGGCGGCCCACTATGGTATAATGATCAAAACCAGACTCTTCAGTTGCGAGATCCTTTCGGCTGGACGCATTTTATTGAGCGATATGCTGCGCAAAATGATGATAGAAGAGGTTTCAGGTTCCGAATTGTCTACATTATTAATGGCGCACAGCACGAAATGATTAGAGATATCTGAAACTGAGCCTGGATCTAGTTAATCATTATGACTATTTCTGTTACATGAGTTCAGAAAATCCTTTATATGGTTCAGAATATCCTTTACAAGTAAAAGGGCATTTCTCAATGCCAGACCAGGGGTCGAGGGCAGAAGTAGGAAGACTTTATACCAAAAGTAAAGCCCACGCCCAATGAGATATCCAACAAGTCCTTGAAACTCCAATAGTCCTCTCTCTTCAAGTACGGACTCTAGCTCGCGGGTGCTATAATAGTCCTCACCAGGCTGGTCACCGTGGTCAATGATACAGGCTCGGATGATAGTATTCTGTTTTATAGTGACCACTATATCACGAACATTTATCTGGCCATGATATGGTGACAACCAAGAAGCGGACTGTCGCAGTAGCATACGCGCATGAATTCGCTCTACAAGCGGAAGCGCCATGCCGTCCTCTCTGTATATCCCAAGTATATCATGCTTGTAGTTTTCCTTCAGCCAGGCTTGGTCGATGCGCTCTAATACCAGCCCATAGTCACCAGATGGCCATTTACTGAGACCATGATATCTCAATTCATTTGGGTCGATTTTGCCTAATGTCTCCCTTATCTCATAATATCGCAATTCTCTTAACAATTGTTTTCGTGATCGAGGGATCTTGATTGCATATTCTCCGTCAAGTATGATGATGCTCATGGGATTCCGAATGGTCTCGCAATATTCTGGAAGAGGAATGTCAAGGTCATAGCTGGTAGTCCCATCATCGTCATCTTCATCTTCATCTTCAGCATTAATGACAATGCTATTATATAGAGGATGTGGTACGAACTAAAGAGTCAAAGTCATTTCTACGCCGCACGAAAGGCATCTTTAGATCTCACCTCCCAGCGTCCCATCATTGACATGAGAAGCTGTAAATTTCCCAAACGTGAATATCTTCAAAAGGTTCTAAGGGGAGGACATTCGTATTCGTCTCTTGTAAAAGTACCACGGTCTGGTTCGTCGCACGGCTCGACTCAGGAACGGTTCTTGACCCAACCGCAGGTATATTTGTGCTTGGGTTTAAGTCAAGTGCAAATCTCTGAGCAGCTGTACTTCTTGGATCGATCGTTAATGAAGTCAGGGAGATCTTAGTCAAGCTGCGGAATGGTTGACAGACTCAATGCTTCTCCTCGAGGTTGGAAACAGCTAGACAGAGTGCCAAGACACGGGTGACTAATTTTAGGCGTTGGATTCATTCTGTCTCACTGAGGGGCTAGCCTAAGCTAGGCAGTGCTGGAGATTGCTGGTGTGCAGCGCTCAGGGAAGCAAAAGGAAGTGAAAATATAATATAAATAGACGTATTCTTGTGAAAATGTGTTCTCATAGTAATTTTATATGTTGTTGTATATTTTTTTGGTTTGTCTTTACAGAAAAGAGTCTTTTATGTGGGAGATCATGTGATATTCCTGCAACACCTTAACTTACACATTTTGTGTGAAACACGTTCCTGGGCAGAACACAGATACACATATAACTCATAATGTAATCTCTTCTGCTGCCAATTTCAGCCTTACTTTGACATATAGCAATTGCTCCTCTTACATGCTCAATTACATGCGACTGCACACTCAGTATTCACCAGCTTCTACCAGTATTGCCTGATTAGGCTGTGCTGCGACAGCGGCCACCTACTGGCAAGAAGTCAACCACACTATACTTAAGATGGAGCCAACGAATGCACCGAGCATCACACAGTAAAATTTTACAAAACTAGACCAGTTAGACCTACCCGTTCTGTTCCAGATTTGAAGGCACTGGCCTGCAATATGAACAAGACGATAAATCGCAATATAAGCTGTCGGCAGTAATCAACACTCTCCAATATCTGCTAACAACAGGTGAGAAGAATGTCACATCTGGTGGTAGCTCAGGCATAATAGAACTTCTACCTTGCGGAAACGTGCGAAAACGTGCCATCCTGAGACAAAGAAGGACAAAAGCAGTCTCAGAGACATCGAGCGGGAGTTTTATGTTTACCAAAGGCCAGGACCGCATGAATGCTTCCTTCACATAATAGCATGTTCACCGGAAGATGGACTCGCCCTACAGTATATGCCAAATGGTAATTTGACACAGCGGCTTTGTGGACATGGTCCGGAAATCACGAAGTGCGAGCGGCTGCCATTGGCATATGAGGCTACGGAGGGCCTGGATGCTGTATATTCTTATAGCATCATCTATCATGATATCAATCCCGACAACTTCATGTGGGATTCGCATTTTGACTTGCAAATCATTGAGAAAAGATTTTTTGTTCTCCGGGGGTCTCCGGTGACTTTAATATGAAGGGGTCAATTAGATATGGGCGCTAAACACATGAAAAAATGTTTAGGTTGAAAAAGTTTTGCTCTAGGGTGCTTGTATAACTTCTTCTGTGGCAACGTAATAAATTGTGCCGGTGCCAATAAGAAGCCAGGCGATATAATGCCACACGCCATGTACAATAGCCGCATGATTCTTGAAATGATGAACCGTCTCTAACCACTGTGAGCAATTAGGGTGCTTACACTGAAAACTGTCCTCGAATATTCCTTGTATACTCTATCATTATATTATATATGCCTCCATATTCACCACACTTATTACAGTCCCTTGATGTAGGCTGTTTTACAGTCTTAAAGAGGACATATAGAAACCAGGTTGCAAACCTGATGAGGCTTGGCATCTCTCACATCGACAAAGCTGAGTTTCTTGCCTGCTTGAAAACAGCTCAATCAGAGGCATTTTCAGTTAATAATATCTATAGTGGATTTGCTGCTACTGGAATTATCTTATTTAACTCAGAACAAGTTCTATCGATAATCTTGAGGCCACTTACACCACCCTTACCTCTACCAATAGATGATCAGCAATTTACACCTAAAACTCCTCATAATCTCAATCAGCTATATTAGTATATAGGGGTGATGCAAGATCTACTTCGGAAGCCATTTTATAGTCCACCTACACCAAATAATCAAGCAAAAGAGCACAACAACAGCGAGAACTCTCACCTTTGGAATAAAGAGCTCAATTGTGTT